CCCACCAAGATTTCTCCTCCATGAAGAGATCTTATCACCATGGCTAGAATACAGTGGGCAGTACATGTTCTCATTTTGTTTCCCTGTGCCTCTACTCTACCTAACCCCTCAGGATATAATCCTTTGGCATGGGCTGCGTATTCGCTTGTTTTCACTACCTTTTATTTGCCTGAGCTCATCCCATCTCAGTCATGGCTATGCCCGCTGGCAGGACATTCAGAATGATCCACGTTACGCCATCCTCAATGAACCCTTCAAGGGAGAGATGAACAGAGGCAACTTCCTGGAAATCAAGAACAAGTTCCTAGCCAGAAGGTTTAAGGTGAGAGAGCCTTCTACTTGGGGAGTGCCTTGCATCAAGGAATAGCCATCCATAAGGGAGGAGGGCACCAACCTCAGCTAGGACAACTTAGTTTCCTTTTTTATTAAATAAAAAAAAAAAAAAGACATTCAGAGAGAGCACAGGAGTCTACCTCCCTCTGTGTGGCTCTTAACTGTTTATAATGAATAAACTAGTGTGTTGTGTGTCCATTGTGATCTCTGCCAGACTCCAAAATGTAGATTGGGAGCTATGTCATAAGAGGGCTTCTTGGAGGGCAGTTACTTTAACTGTTTTCTCTCAAGGGTTTTCCCAACAAATAAGTGTTTGGCAGGTGCAAGTCTGAGTGAATATCCTTACCACAGTTCCTTTCTGGTGTTGCAGGTCACTTGGGGTATGTTTAGGGATTTGTCTACTTGGGGACACTTGCTGAGGACAAATTCAAGTGGATTAGTTAAACTGCGTTAACTTAATGATGGCACATGCTCCAGAGATTGTAATTTAGTCTGTCTTAATTTATTTCCAAGGTGCACTTACTTTTAAAGAGTATGGTCATCTAGTCAGTTCACAGAAGTGAAAGGGGGCTAACCTACCACAGCTTAGCACAGGGTCCAAGCATGCCACAGGCAGTTAGCATGGCACAGCTGAGGCATGGAAAAGCTCTATACCTCTGTACTCTGTAAACTATTTGCATCTCCGTACCTTAACTCCAAGTGAGTGTGTGTATCCTTTAAACCAAATGCATACTTGTAAGAGATGTTAAACAAAAACAGGTGGCCTGAGGGAAGGGCAATTTGTGTTCAAGAGTCTGTCCAACATCTTCCAACAATATAATTTGGTCCAGTAACAGGGATCTTACCTAGATTATACTACGTTCTTCTCGTGTGTTCCTTGGACCTCGTGGCTACAACAACACTACTGTGACCATTTTAATGAAGTTTAATGAACCTGTGTTAATTTTCTGAAATGCCCATGTGGACAAACTCTAGGATAAGGTGTTTAAAACCAGTTTTCAAACACTCTGGAAATCTAGTCTAGATTTACAATAGTGCTAGTCAATTCAATTCACTTTGGAATCTTATTTCTACTTCCTGTGGCCTTTACATGCCCAAAGAAACTCTGGGGGAATGGTTTTCCAGGCACCCCTCTGCCTGCTAGGAAGGAGCAAAAAGGCCTTGAGCCTTTATTACTGTAGGTTTGGGGGAAAGGAAAGAAATGGCCTTGAAGGTCCAGATTTTGCTTGGTGTGGCATGGGAATAAAAACAGAGTCCCTCTGGAATCTTCATCATGTAAAGCCCCTAAAGCAGGGGTGGGCAAAATGTGGCCTGGGGGCCAGATGCGGCCTGCCAGGCCATTCTATCTGACCTGCGGGGCCCCTAAAAAATTTAGAAAATTAATATTTATCTGCCCTGGCTGTCTGTCATGTGGCCCTCAATGACTTGCCAGAACTCGGGTAAGTGGCCCTCTGCCCAAAACTAATTGCCTGCCCCTGCCCTAAAGGGTCCAGAGATACATTTGCAGAAGATCCTAGAAAGGAATCTCTCAAATTGCCTGTGGTATGGACTCTGGAGTGTTTGTGTAGGCAGTGTCCTGCCACAGTGAGACACTGCTTCTTCTGATTTAGAGACCCCTAGATGCTTCCCTTGTACAAGCAAAAGCTGGGTAATAGAGCTCAAAAACAGAAATCCAATAGCTCAGGTCTGAGAGGGTGGTGGAGATTATCTTGGCAAAGGCCAGCATGGGGGAGCTGTGACCTAGAGCAGCGGTTCTCAACCAGGGGTCCAGGTGGCCGCAAACAGCTTCAGGAGGTCTGTGGGGGCTGCAAATTTGGCACACCCACAGCCTCTGAGGGCATGGGCTACCCCAGCTGACCAGGCTGAGCCCATTGCTGCTGTTGCCAGGTTCTTGAGGAAAACATGGATTTTCTCCTCTTAAAGGAGAATAACATGGGGAAACTGGGTTTCCCCTTGAAGGCTGGCAATGTTCCAGCCTGTAAGGCTCTGCTTGGGGCTAGGGGGAGCTGGAGGATGCTGATAAAGCAGGGGGTGCCTCCCCAATTTTTCTGTGCCCACAACAGACATGGGGCTACAGCCTGGCTGGACCAACCAAGACCCTGTGTGGGAGCTGTGCTGACAGCAGCAGGAGTAATGGACAAGGGGTGGGGGAAGTGGGGAGTCATGCTGCCCTTACCTCCTTACATTACTGGTAGGGAGGTGGGGTGGGGGGTAGCATAGACTGCCTTAGGGCAGCAGCAGTGGCTGGCCTGTCCTCCTCCCCCCCTATCTCCCAGTGTGGGTCAGGAATATGGGGTACCAGCAGGGCCAAGGGGCTGCAGGCTGGGAGTGAAGGTCACCAGCAGGATTGGAGGTGTCAGGGGCTGTGGGTTAGGAGTGGGGCACTGGCAGGGCTGGGAGCTATGGGTCAGGAGTGTGGGGGGGCCTTGAGTCCAAAAAACTTGAGCCACTGACCTAGAGCAGGCTGACTTTTTTGGGAAGTAGTTGAAGGAGTCTTTTTCATGCTTCCTTTTCTTTCAGCTGTTGGAGCAGGCACTAGTAATTGAGGAGCAGCTACGGCGAGCTGCCTATCTAAACATGTCAGAAGACCCTTCACATCCATCTATGGCCCTGAATACGCGGTTTGCTGAGGTAGAGTGTCTGGCAGAGAGCCACCAGCACCTGTCCAAGGAATCTATGGCTGGGAACAAGCCAGCCAATGCGGTGCTTCACAAAGGTGAGGTGGTGTCCTGGAGCTGAAGAAAGGTGGGCGTATCTCAAGCTGCACTCCCTTCTGCCCCTCCCCCAGTAAACATGCACCCCTATTTCTCTTCTAGTTCTGAAGCAGCTGGAGGAGCTTTTGAGTGATATGAAGGCAGATGTAACTCGCCTGCCTGCCACCATCGCCCGCATCCCACCTGTGGCAGTACGCCTCCAGATGTCAGAGCGCAACATCCTCAGTCGACTGGCCAACCGCAGTAGCGAACCCCCTCCACCACCACCTCCCCAGCAGGTAAGTGCCCTCCCCTCCGGGCCAGTAAGGAACTCCATCCCTTTAACCTGGTCAGCTGGAGGGAGTGGGACCGTTGGGGTAGTCCCAGCAGGGTGGGTGCATGCTTATCAATGGGCTTTGTCTCATGCATGTGCTCTCTCACTTCACAGGTGGCCCAGCAGCAGTGACGCCGCAGCCCAGCACTGTTGATCAATCATCCAAGCTGAAGTGACCCCTCTTCTGCCTGACATTCCTGATTGGGTGCTGTTCCCCTCTGTGGATGTTGCTGTACAATCCTCCCGGAGAAGTCTCTTCTCCCTCTGCAGCCAGCCAGCCACAGGAGCAAGGAGTGTGCCTGGCCGAGAGGGGATGTATGATGGACTCTGTACATAGTGACTGGAGGCCACAGCGCCACATCTGTTACACAGAAACCTGGCTGTACTGCTCACTGCCTCGGCCTGGAGTTCCATGTTTTGGTTTTTAATATTATTTTGCGTTTGTTTACTGAGATGAGAGTGCACAGGCGAGACCAAGCAAAAGCCAGGACAGAGACAAAGCTACCTCCATCAAGATCCTTTTTAATACAAAAACTGACCGGACTTGTCCACTAATAAACAGCTAAAAAGACAAAAAGAAAAAAAACTTGATAAAACTGAAATAAAAGTTTCCTTGTATTTTTGTTCTATTGCCTCCAATTAGCTCTGTTGCAGGGTGGGCAAAAGGGCCGGTGATGTTCTTTCTTATAATCCCCATGTTCCCTCAGTCTGTGCTATCTTTGCCTAAGAAGAAACCTGACTGGCCTAGTTTTTCTACTGCCTTCACTGCTTCTCTCATCCTCATAGCAGGGTACTTTTATGACTTGGAATTACCTGCTGCTGCTCTAAGCATTTGGGGATCGTTTCCAGGGGTAGTGAGCCTGTACCATCTCTGTTTCTCTCCAAGCCATGAGCTGGCCAGGTCATGAATAAGCATCCAGTGTCTTCAGTCTTAACTGCAGGCTGGGTGCCCTTGTGTACCATCTTGCTGAGATGCTCCTGGGCGAAGAGTTGAGCAGTGCCCTTGCCTTGTTGCCAAGGCATGCCAATACTGTTCATGAGGGGAGGATGTAGAGAGAGCTGAAGCTTACAGCTTTTAGCTTTCCCTTGTGTAGGCAGCGGCTCTTCCTAGTTAGCCTTGCTGGAGCGGTCTACTCTCCTTACCAGTACCTGGCTCGTGAGGGCTCCTCTCTTGCTGCCCTTGGGGTGGCAGCATGCTGGGCTGGACCACAGCACTACTGTAGAGGCTCGGAGGTGGCTTAGGTCCCCTCAAGTAGCTGCTAGCAGGAGGAGTTCGACTTCTGCCTCCCTCCCCCTGCCCCTCACACTCCGCCCTCCTCATACCTTGGCAAGCGCCGAGCCGCCCGGCCCCACCAGTTGCTGCTAGGCGGCCGTGGAACCCTTTCAGTTGGCCCCGGGTGTCCCGGGGCAGCTCCGCGCATCGTGCCTCGAAGCCCGCGGCCTCAGTCACTTCTCTGTGATCGGACTTCAGTCGGGGGTGCTGCCTGCTGCAGTAACGTCATCTCCGGGGCGGGGCGCAGGAGGTTACTCACCTGCAACGAGTCACTTATGCTGCCGTAGGCGGGGCGGGAAGCTTCGCGTTTTCTCTGCCCTGATTGGGCGCTGGGAGGAAGCCTGACCAATCAGAGGGGAAAGGAAGAAGGCAAGAGCTTGGCCAATCAGAGGGTGAAGCATTAGCTGAGCCATTCTGAGTTTGCGTAGAGTAAGGGACGTAGCTGGGAGGTCTCCACGTGTGGCTGTTGGTGAGTGTGGGGCCCGGCCCGGCCCGGCTCGGCTGGTGGGGCGGCGACTGGGTTCCCCCTGCGGCGGGGCGGGGCGGCCAGTAGGAGGTTCAGAGCTCCGAGATCCCAGAGCGGGCTTCGGCCACCCTGCTTTCGGGGTGCCCTGGCTCACTGCTTTACCTGCTTGGGAGTTGCTGTCCTAGAGCAGGGGAGGGTGGCTATTGGACCGGAGGTCCCTTAAAGAGTTTCCCCTGAGCTGTTGTAGGCCAGGGGTGCTGACCTGGCAAGAGGTGGGGAGGGTAGTCGGTCTTCTGCAGCCCCAGGCTGTTGTGTGCACGCACTCACTCACTCCATGGAGACTGCCCCAGGACACCGCAGGTAGTGAGCACTCAGCTGGGCAGATGGGATGGGGCCGTGGGTGTGCAGGGAGTGGTATCCAGGAGCATGATGGGCTGGGGCTAGGATCTAGGGTGGAACCAGGATCTGTTCCCTGTGGTGGATGCTGGTTCCACAGGCAGAGACATGCAGGGGAAGATTGCAACCGTGTCTCAGGCCCCTGCCCTCATCCTACTCCAGACTCTGCTCCCCGCCTGCAGCTGCATCCCATCTTTCCTGGCCAAGTGCATTGTCCCTGTAGAGGTCCTGAGCCAGTCTCCATGGAGACTCCACTCTGTACAGCACCCCCATCAGTGGGTGTGGAGTGGAGTGGACTGGTCAGAGCAGGTGGGGAGAGTGAGCTGCCACCACAGGGGCTACCAGGAAGTCCAGTCCAGCCACACACACCACAGCCCAGACTGCCCCCCACGCCTGAGCCAGGTAGGGCAGAGGGACCTGCCACGGGCTGGATAAACTCCCTTGGCGGGCTGGATCTTGCCTCCCCCTGTCCTAGAGCCAGGATAGAGGTGGGCAGAGTATGTTACCCACAGAATGGCTGGAGACCTCATGAGGAGGTTGAGAGCTGCCTAACACTGAGTACCTATGGACATGTTACTTTATTCTACTTTGCCTTATTCCACAGAGGAGCAGCAGCACAATGGGGCGCAAACTTGATCCAACACGGAAGGAGAAACGTGGCCCAGGACGCAAAGCCCGTAAACAGAAGGGGGCAGAAGTAGAGTTAGCCAAATTCCTCCCACTTGGTAAGCCCAGCTGTTTTGACATCCCTGTCCACCCATCTGAAGTGGAACGCGAACGTATTGTTTGGCCTTTTTCCATTACTAGAGTCTTAATTTGTTTGTTTTGTTTTTTTTCTAGCAAATAATAACGTTAAGAAAAAATTATCCAGTCATGGGCGAAAGAGGTGAGTGCACAGGCCAGTAAGTCTCTTCCCCAGAAGAGACTAAAACCTTTGTGATTTCCAGGGTACCAATCCAAGTCTGGAAGCCCCACGCCAGACTGAGATGAAGGGTCAGAGGAATATGTTGGGAGCTCCGGTAGAAAGGAGTCTATCTGCTTAATTAATGTGGTCTTCTTTTTCCGCTGTCACTTCAGAGCTGCAAAGAGACGAACAGGGCCAGGAAAACTTCAAACTGAGACGAATCTGCTTCTGGTGAAGAAGGCAGGAGGTGAGGAAGGAGTGATTGGGATGAAGGGAAAAGTGACTTGAATAACTTGGATCTTCTCCACAAAGGGTTGGATGTGTTCTGACATCCTTGATTGCAATGTTTCTTGGTGTGTTTTATTGGGCATCTTCCTTCCTTCAATCCTCAGCTCCGAGGGAGAGGGCAGAGAGTCTAGTAGAGCTTGGGGATTCTACTTTCCTTGCTGAATTTTGTCAGGTATTCTGCCTGAGGTAGCTGGAAAAGCTTTGAAGGTGCACAGTGGGGTGCCAGACAACACTGTGCACTACTCATGGATATATAGCCCTTGTGACTGGGGAAAATAAGGCAATTCACTTATGCCAAACTACGCCAGTCCAGTTTCTTCTTGGGCGAAGATGGCACAGGCTGAGGGATCACAGGGATTATGGGAAAGAGCATCACTGGCCCTTTCTCCCCTGCCATTCTCTTTCCCCCACCCTGCAACAGAGTTAATTGTGGAGGCAACAGAACAAAAATACAAGGAAACTTCTATTTCAGTTTTATCAAGTGTTTTTGTCTTTTTAACTGTTTATTAGCACACAAGTCCAGTCAGTTTTTGCATTAAAAAAGGATTTTGATGGAGGTAGCTTTGTCTCTGTCTTGGCTTTTACTTGGTCTCACCTGTGCACTCTCGTCTCAGTAAACAAATGCAAAATAATATATAAACAGTGTTTGTTAAGTACACTGCTGTCAGTGCCATGGTATTGGCATCCCCAGAACTGACCAGCTTCTTTTGTTTTTTGGGGCTTATAATAGTCAGTTTTGGGACAGCAATTAGAAGGTTTAAAAATGAGGGGAGATCAATGCAGTGAGGCTAATGAACCCCTGTTCTCAATGCTTCTAATAATAGCCCTTAAACAGTTGCTTCCCCTTTACTGTTTTTGGGCCAGTTAGAGTATGATTAGTTACAAAGTAGACAGTGATTCTGAAAGATGCCATGTCACGCATGTATGTAACTGATATGCAGATAGCCAGTGTTTGTTACATGAACATTAGGCAATGATACTGCATTGGTAATGTGTTCTGCAATTAATATGAATTGTGCACTTACCTGGACAATACAAGTCAAGTACATTGCATAATAAGGTTTTCTTGTTTTGGGGGTTTTTTAATTTAAAAAAAAATCCATTCCCTTCATGGAGATGACATCTCAACCCTGTCTATGCTATTATGGGCAGCTGCAATAGCTGGAATTTAAATGTACACTTAGCATTGTGTTGAGAAGTCTGTTATCTTGTCAACTTAACCTTGAATCAAATTTAATTTGATAAAACTGACCCTTGAAAATTCATCTTGGTTAGCCCTTGGTATTGTGAGCATGTTGCTTCAGTGCTGGCTCTCTATACAACACAGCCTCAAATTGGCAATTTTTGGTGATTTTAATTTCATGGTGTTTAATGTCCAGTATCATTCAGCTGATACAAATGGAATAGGTTTTGGAAACTAGCTCTGCAGGTTGGAGAGGGAAATTCTTGCTAGATCCAAGAATCAGTTAATGAGGAGGACTTAGAACTTGCATTTATGTTAGTGGGTCATGGTATGTACCTAAATTACAGAACCTTCTGGGTAGGCTACTGATAAGAGGCAGGAACAGGTCTACAGCCCAACCTTTTATTAGCTTGCATCTTAAAACATGAGAACAAACATTTATCCCAAAGTCTATCTGGCTGAATCACAACAGCACAGCATAGATTGTCACCTATACTGCCTGGGGAGACTCAGGAGGAGGGTGGCACATAGATTGGCAGCAGGTCTTCTGGAATTTGCAGAGTTCTCCAAATTTCCCTCCAACCTATGGAGAATTTCAATCCCCAGTCTCTTCCCTGTCTCTCCTGCTAGTTTTTCCTCTATTATTGTCTTCTTACCTGTCTATCACTCTAGTTGTTAAGCAACCAGCTCTGTCCGCATAACCTGGACCAGGTATGGGAGGAGGGGGTAGTCTTCCTGTCTATTTGGGGTCAAGGCCAGTAGCCCCTTTCACTCCACCAGGTAGTGATGATGCCATTGGTGATGCATAGGGGGTGCACGCTGGGTGCACCCCCTACAAAAAGGCACCGCTGACACCGTTGGTGGCACCTGGGGGCAGTCGCTGCTCCCCTTTCCCCCCCATGCTGCTGGTGGTGTCTGCAGATGGTTGCTGACCCCTGGTTGGTGCTTGCTGCCTCCCCTCCTCTCCCCTGCTGCCACCACCACTGGGAGCTCCCCACTTAACACTGCCACCAGTGTTGCCATCCTTCCCACCCCCACTGGGGGCATGCATTGTTCATGGATGATGCTTTTCCAGTTGGTTGGCTAGCAACCAACAACTGCTGCCCTTCATTGAGCCCCCAAAGGTGATGTCAAAAGGTCTATATAAACTGACTGCCCAGGAGGTTGGGCAGAGCATCCATGGATGAAGACTTACAGGAGCTGAAACATCTGCAGCTCTCTCTTTCAAGATGCTGAAGTGAGTAGACTGCTGAAACCTCTTTAGATATAGCTTGCTGTAAAGTAGATGTGATCAAAGGCTACCTAGCCACTGTTTGCCCTAAGGTTATTCTTTAATACTTCTCTGTCCTGCAACTTTCTCCAAGCCTTCCATCTGTAACCAATAAAGTTCTTCACTGTACCAAGTGTGGTGGACTTGTTGGGAGAAGCATGGCTTTGTGCCCCTTGGTTCGGCTGACTAAGAAAGCTGCTTTTTGTGCTTCAGGCTAGAGGAAGCACCCCAAGCTTTTGCAGTGGGTCAAGCGGGTGCTTGACAGGTCTATTACACCTGTGTACTTCAAGAGGCACGTTGCCACTAACGGACCAAGACTCTTGAGTGGTGCCAGTGTTACCCCCAGGCTTGTGGGTGTGCTCCAGGAAGGGGGTTGGCCGGATGCAAGGTGCCCCAAGGAGGCACTCAGAGCCTGGAAGGTGAACAGGTGCAGTGAAGTGGGTGGCTTAGCACAGGAGCACCCCCTACTGGCCTGCCACACAGCCTATACCCAATATTTATAGATGGCTGGTTTTAATATTCTAATAAATGACCTCTGATTGGTTCTATTGAAATTTCTTTGTTTCACTGAAACTTTTGGAACTGGATTAAACCAGAATTTTTGTGGACTTGGAAGGTGTCAATTATTTGGGATTTATATTCTTGAGGAAGAAGGAGGGTTTCTTGTCTCCTTTTCTTCCCCACTGTAGAATGCTGTTTCTGTTTCTTCTTTACCTTACTTTATCTCTGACAGGCTGTTTTTTATCTAAGCATTTTAACAAAAATATATCTATTATAGCAAAATAACTTCTAATACATTTGGTTACACCAATTGCTACTATTACTACTTCAAGATAAAGCTATGATATAACATATATGGGTTACTTAATGTATGTTGTGTTTTGTGTCCTTTATTTGCTGACTAAGTTAATTGTCACGTCTGCAAAGCTTCACACTGGTTACTCAGAAACAGGCTTTGGGCCTTCTGCTTAGCACTTCTGCAGCTTGGCCTATACCCCTTGAAAATGGTCAAGGCTGAAACCAACAGGCATCGGTCACAAGCTGGCGGAGGGGAGGTTTAAGTTGGACATCAGGAGGTGCTACTTCACGGTCAGGGTGGCTAGGGTCTGGAACCAGCTTCCAAGTGAGGTGGTGCAGGCTCCCACCCTGGGGGGGTTTAAGAGGAGGTTAGATGACCATCTTGCTGGGGTCTTTTGCCCCCCATTACTCTTTCCTGCCATGGCAGGGGGTCGGACTAGATGATCTGCCCAGGTCCCTTCCAACCCTAGAAACTATGAAATGCAGTCTGACTCAGAGCTGGCAACAGTAGCAAATCTCACCATTTGCTATTGCAAGTGTAAAGACTCATGTTTTTGATTTGCCTTCGCTAGTAAAAACAGGGTGACTCAAACTTTTTTTGGTTTTTTGTTTGTTTGTTTTTAAAAAGCCTCTATGAGAGAGATGAGGGCCATCACTGAGCTGCTTGTGAAAGACATTCTAATGTGACAGTGGAGGGACTGCAGCATGAGAATCATTCAGAAACACCTGAGAAGCATCGGTACAGATAAATATAGCTGTAAAATAAATAAGTGTTTTTAATTCTTTTGTGTTTTCTGGGATGGGGCAGGGTCATATCCACATTTTACAGAGGAAACCAAATGACAGAGAAGCTGCCTGCCCGCACAGCTGCAGTTTGGAATTAGAATGCATTCCATCCCATTCTGTACTGAATGATACAATTGGTTTTGAACCTGTTTACTGATCATCAGTTGTCTTCTGCCCACAGCTGCTGAGCAGCCATCACCACAGAAGAGGAAAGACCCCACAGGGTTAAAGGAAAAAGCTTTCCATCACCACCATCAGCCTGGCTTCAGCGATGATAATTCAGGATGGCTGACTCCTGTGACTAAGCATGCAAAGTTTGAGGAGAAAGATGATGAGCATAAGGAGCTCAGTGACAGCGAGGGGGATGAGGACTCCTGGGAGAATGAGGAGGACAATGGGAGCAATGAGGAGATAGTAGATGATTATGGTGCCTCATCCTCTGAGGAACAGGAGGTAGGAGCCTCTGACCTATGTGGCACAATGAGTAGATGGACGTCCCCAGTAGGGAGTGGTGTGGGATTTGTGCCCAATGGAGATGGAAGTGGTTGTGGGGCTTACAAAGGGTGAGACATCATCCCCTTGGGAGAGAAACCTCAAGAGTAGAGAGTGTTCATGACAGTACTTTCTCCTGCCTTTACCTGCTGGTCTGTGCACCCACCTGAATGGAGTGAGTGTTATGGGAATGGCAGGGACTGGGCACATGGGTTCTCATTAATTTCCCCTCTCTCTCCATGTTCAGCTGTTGCCCATTGAACAAGCTGCCCGAAAGGACAAGTCTGACAGGTGAGAATTCAAGCTGCTCGAAGCCAGTGGAGGGTCTCCTGGATTGTGGCAATAGGGGAGTTGGTGGTGGCCATCTACTCACGCTACTTCACTAGGGCTGCGAGCTGTGAAGCTTCCTGAGTTCGCCTTGCTTTTGCACGTGAACACTTTCCCCTTTTTTTCAGCGAGGATGACAGTGAAGATGAAAAGCAGGGAAGCAGACCAAGCTTGGGACAGAAGGAAGAGGAGGACACGGACCTGCAGCTCAATGTGGATATAGATGAGGAGTTCGTGTTGCCCAGCAGTGAGGAGATTCAGAAAGAGAATATCCTTCCTTCTACTATGTTTGTGGCTTGTGAGCCACCTGCATCTAGCAAAAGCATACACTCTCAGACCTGCATGTTGTGAAGTATGGGCGTTATGCTCTTGGTTTACTGTTCCTGAGAAACTACAGTAACGTACAACAGAAACCCAAAACACTTCTGCCTGGGTTGGGTCATGCTTCAGCTTAATGGAGCAGGAGCATTTGTGTCACCATATATGAAAGCAGTTGTGTGTTAGACAGCTGAAACCCTCAGAATCCTAGTCCTCCCTAATCTTTGACATATTGGATGACTGTCATCATGAGGGTGGGTGCGTGGGTGTGTCTGTCCATCAAGTTTTTTTTCTTTTAGATTAAATAAACCCATCTCCCTAATCCTTTCCTCACAAGTCATGTTTTCGCAATCTCTTACTATTCCCATCATTCTCACTGGGATTCTCCAGCTAGCCTGCATCTTCATTAAAGCGTGAGATCCAGAGCTTGATGGAGATGCCCCAGCTGAGACTTCCTCAGCGCAGGTGCTCTGTGGTGCATGGCAGGAGTTGAGCAGTAAAGCTCATATGTAATCAGTGCTCAGGCCTTTGCTCTTATTCCTTGACTTTTCTCACCTGTTGGGCCACCTGATCTGCATGTCATTCATCAACGCATCAAGGACAACATGGAAGTGCTGAAGGACTTCCGGAACAAGCGGGAAGAGGGGCGTGCACGGCAAGAATACCTTGTGCTCCTTCGCCGGGACCTTGTTGCTTACTACTCCTACAGTGATTTTTTGCTTGAGAAGTTCATGGAGATCTTCCCCCTCCCTGAGGTATTGTGCTTTTCCCCTGCCCCTGCCTTGCTAGACCTGGTTATGGGTCTGGATTTGTCCAGCCTTCCTCCAGACTGACCAGTACTCACCCATTTGCCTCCCCTCTTCCCTGGGTATGGGGATGTCCTGTTGTCTTTCTCACTCGTTTTCTTCCTTCCCTTGCCTAGCTGGTCAACTTCTTGGAAGCCAACGAGGTTCCTCGCCCCATGACCATTCGGACCAACACCCTAAAGACACGGCGACGGGACCTGGCACAGGTAAGTGAAGCTCTATGGCTCTTCAGCCCCTACCCTCTCCCCATTGTGAAGCTGAGGTCTCACTGTTTTTCTTGTCCTTCAGGCTTTGATCAATCGTGGAGTGAATCTCGACCCCCTGGGGAAGTGGTCGAAAACTGGGCTTGTTATCTACGACTCCTCCGTGCCCATTGGTGAGAAACTTTCCCTTCTGTCCCAGGGCTGAGCTAGCGGACTAGGAACGCCTCAGTTTCTCATAGCTCTATTATCTTGCCCCCTAGGTGCCACCCCAGAGTACCTGGCTGGACACTATATGCTGCAGGGAGCTTCTAGCCTCCTCCCCATCATGGCTTTGGCTCCTCAGGAGAATGAGCGCATTCTGGACATGTGCTGTGCCCCTGGAGGCAAGACTAGCTACATAGGTACTGGATTGGAGAGAGGGGTAGCTGGGTATGGGCATGGGGGCCAGGGTGGTGAAGCTCAGGAGGAAGGTGGGGGGGTCCCTTTTGGGACTTCTTGCAGGGAAGGATATTGGGGAAGCAGGCAAGGGAGTTATGGGGGGAAGGGGGCGAGGAATTCTGGTCCATGGCAATGGAGGGTGTTGCAGATGTTCTGGGTCCTGATGTGACACCTGCCCTCTGGCAGCTCAGCTGATGAAGAACACGGGTGTGATCTTGGCCAATGACAGCAGTGCCGAGCGACTGCGCAGCGTGGTGGGGAACCTGCACCGCCTGGGCGTCACCAACACTGTTGTGAGCAACTGTGACGGGCGACAGTTCCCCAAGGTAGGACAATGGCACAGCAAGCTCCTGTACATCATGTCAGTTGCAAGGCTTCTGTGGATTCTCCTTGGCTGGGCCATGTCCTACCACACGTTCACTACAGTCTGTATGGGGCCAAGCTGTAAGAAAGACATACGCATGGGCTGGGGGACCAGGCAGCATGGAATGGCTCTGTCTGTCCTGTCCGGGCGCCATATTGCTCTAGCTCAGCTTCACATGGACGGGGCTTATCAGAATGTCTAATTCTGCCCTTAGGTGCTGGGAGGGTTTGATCGAGTCTTGCTTGATGCCCCTTGCAGTGGCACAGGTGTGATCTCAAAGGACCCTGCTGTCAAAACCAATAAGGTAAGTAACCTTCCCTGCTCTTTGCTGAGGGGTCCTCTTTAGCTGTGCTACTGCCCCATGTCACCAAACCTGTGGCTTCTCATCGCTGCTGGTAGCTAAAATCAGCAGGAGGTGGTGGCAAGGGTAAGGGGCACAGAGTGGGGAGGGCTGGGATGATTTAGTTCACTTATGTGGCTACAGACTCAGGCAGATGTAGGTTAGATTGTAAGCCCTGCTGCACACTCTAATAGCAGCAGCTGCTCCCCCTACCCTCTTACATAGACTAAGTGCATGTTTGACCATATCTTGAGAGAGACTTTTGCCTACTGGCTCATTGAAGGGGAGTGGTTCTGGATTGTTTTGTCCTTACATCAAGATGCTTGGAACAGAGAAATAAATTTTAAGGAATGATTCCTTCCTTTTGCGTTCCCACCGTGTACACGCGCGCATCCCTTTCCTTCCTCTCCCCTTGTTGAATCAGGGGAGGGGATGGAGCCTGAGAAACTAATCCAGGTCCCATTGCTTCCTCCCATGTGCTTCTCTCTCTCTTTTTATCATGGGTCCATTTGCAGCAGAGAGCAGGGTGAGCTCTGCATCTTTCACATTCTAACCCATCTGTCTCCCTCAGGATGAGAAGGATATCTTGCGCTGTGCTCACCTGCAGAAGGAGTTGATCCTCAGTGCTATTGATTCAGTCAATGCTGCCTCAGAGACGGGGGGCTACATTGTGTACTGCACCTGCTCCATCATGGTAAGTGCCCTTGGGGCTCCAGGTGACTGGCCTCAACACCAAGGGAGGACTTAAGAATTGGTCAGTCAGTGTCAAACTTCGATGTCGGTCTCTGGCAGGTGGAAGAGAATGAGTGGGTAGTGGATTACGCCCTGAAGAAACGCAATGTTCGTCTGGTACCCACGGGCTTGGACTTTGGCCAGGAAGGATTTAGCAGGTGTGTGATGTGTCAGGCCTCTGATTTGGCAGCTCTCACTCTCACTTCCCTCACTAGGGAGGAAATTTTCATATTTTCTTCTTTATCTTCCCTCTCTCTACCCCAGATTCAAGGATCGTCGCTTCCACCCATCCCTCAAATCTACACGGCGTTTCTACCCCCACACCCACAACATGGATGGGTTCTTTATTGCCAAGCTCAAGAAATTCTCCAATGCCATCCCCAAAGTGCAGAAAGGTAACTGAATTACAGAGCTCTGCCCTGCTCACTTACTGAACTGGCTGGGATGAGAGTAGCAGAGAGCTCCCAACGAAACAATGCTGATGCTAGCTGCAGTATATCCTGCCATCTTAATGGAATTGTGGAAAAATTGGGCTGGAAGAGCTATCGGGAAGTCACCTAGTCCGGCCTCTGTTTAAGGCAGGGTCATCCCTGACTAAACTATCCCAGCGGATTAATCCATCTGAATTGCACTTAAATTTCCAATAGCAAAAATTCCACTCCCCTTCCAGGCAGTCTTTCCCAGTGTGTTCCTACTTTGAATTGGAAAAGCTGTGATTTTCAACTGCTTCTTGTTTCAGCCCGTTACTTTCCATCTGGTCCCTGATGGACACAGCAAACAATCAGTTACTATCCTCTTCTATAATAACCCTTTTTGTATGCAAAGATCTATCAAATTGCCTCTCAGTCTTCTCTTCTGATTTAAATAACTCTAGTCCTTCCAACCATTTCTTGTAAATCATGGTTCCCAGATCTCTCATCACTTCGGTGGTTTCTTGCTGAACTGTTTCTAATTTGTCTTAATCTTTCTCGAAGTGTGGTGCCTGGAACTGGCAGGTGAGGCCTCATATGCTGATAATTGGAAGGATCAGCAGAAGTGATTTAAAGAAGTAATGGAAGTGATGCATCCCAGTGTGCTGTTAACTTTTTTTTGATCTAACATGTAACATTCAGCTTGTCTACCACAAACCCGTTTTAAGTGCAGAATTTCATCTTATTAATTCAGACCTATTTCCAGTTTGTCAGGGTTGTTTGGAATCCTAATCCTGTTCTCTGTAGTGTCTGCTACCCCATTTAACTTGGTCTCAGCTACAGATTTACTATGAAGTGTGCATTCAGTTCTGTTCTCCAAGTCATTTAATGAAAATGAGCAGTACCAGACCCAGGGCAGAGCCCTTTGGATACTTCTTGATGCTTCCTCTCAGTTAGACATTGACACATTTGTCTTAGAGCATAATCATCCAATTAGTTTTGAGCTCATCTTACCATAGTTTAGTGTTGGAAGCCTTGCCTGAGTGAAATTGTGGATGGGGTTGAACAGTGGTTATGATACAAAGTCTGTCACCTTAGCATATAGTGGAATTTGGTTAGTTCAGCATGGCTTGGACCTTGTACACACATTCATTTTCTCTTGGGAGAGTTGCTGGTCTACCAGGAGAAACCATGAGTGGTACACCATGTTCAGGCTTTTTCTCCCAGAGTAAAAATGGCCACTCCAGGGGAAACATAGCCTGGAAGTAACCAGGGTTAAATTGCTCCCAGGGGAGTCTCCTGGGAGACCAAATGTCTATACATGCTGTGGCTTCTCTCAGAAGAGAATATAGTTCTCTAGCAAACCCACTCCCAACCAGTCCGGGAGAGGCAGTGTGTTGCTCCCTGGACTGTGGTGCTCCAGTAGTGGCACCCCACGTTGTGTTGCAGGGAAACAGGCTGACCAGGGGCAGCCTTGGTCAGCCAATCAGGGCTGCTCTATGTCCTGCTGCTATCTGTTCCCATGCAGACTAAGGAAGCCTGCAGAGCACATTGAGATATGTGCACAGGGTCCCCCCTTCCATGTCTGCATAGTGTCAGCACTGCATGCTCTCCACTCTTCAGGGCCTCCAGCATTCAAATATCTGTACAAGTGGATCTGGGTAAGGGGAGTTTCTCTACTAGGAGAACAAACCTGGGAGAATTCTTCCAGATAATTAGTATGTATGTACACCTTTCTCTTGAATGGATGCGTTTCTCTTGACAGAGCCAGGTTTGCAGTTCCTTATTACCTTTAAGTGCTTAGAAATAGGTTCTCTGGCAGGCTTCAGTGTTTTTCTAGGTATCAAAGGGAATTAGAGTAGCCAGTCTAAGTCTTCCTTCCCCTTTTTTTTTCCAGTTATCTATGAATTTACACACACAACAGCCAGTAGTTCTGCAATTACCTCAGCCAGTTGCTTGAGTACTCCTGGATAAGTCTCATGAGGTGTTTTGACTGTTTTCTGCTTGTAGATGAGGAACCTGCCATAGAACCTGCGAGCCAGGAGCCTGCTCCCAAGCCAACTTCAGAGCCGCAGCCTAAACGGAGAAAGCTTGAGGGATCAAAAGTTGCTACGGGAAAGAAGATGCAACGACCTGCCTCAAAGGGAAGCTCCTTACAGAAGCAGGGCAGAGCCTCAAAGGCTGTCCGGCCCTCCCCCCGGACACTGGGAACTCGGCCAAATTCTAGGAAGAAGCACAAAATGCATCAGAGTGGACAGTGATAAGGTGCCTTACTGAACATCAGTACTAGGTTTGCTTAGACTAGGAGGTGGAATGCTCACCTTGGAGGGGAAAGGTCAGGCGCTGCCCTGCTTCTACCCACATTGGGTGCTTTTTCCATGTTGTGTGGGTCTGGAATAATTGTTGTCACTGTTTAAGGAGCTGGGGCAATGTGCTGTCTCTTTGTTGTGATCTGCTCTTCTGCCTATACTTCTCTGGGCATCTGGAATGGTCATTCCTGCCTCATTAAAGATTTTATATTTTGTGGAAGTATACAGTAGCAAAGTACATGCACTTTCATATGTGAAGAGAAACCATATTCATTTTGAATCAGAGGCTCGGAGTGAGCAGGTGACTCTGCTTAGTGGTTAAAAGCTTTTTGTGGAGGGACAGGAGAGGGCCAGGGCAGCAGGAGTCCTGTGTCCAGGCCCTGCTCTAGTGGCTGCTCAGAAACATTATAGAAGGTGTATGTTAGATCAAGGTCTGGGATCTAAGTTTCCTCTTTGGGATGGCCTGGGCCCTGAGGCTGAATTAACTCCATATTTCTGAACTAATGGATGCAAACTAGAACCAATATAAACAGAAATGACCAAGAACACCCCCCGCCCTTATAACCAGGAGGTGAGGATAGTGCTGAGAGATGTGTACTCTAGTTTTCTTCTGGCAGAAGTATTTAAATCCAGCTCTTGCACATGATTGTGGAGGTACTCCTAACAAACGGGCTGTTGATTGGTGACGTGCTGCGGCTGCCTCCAGGAGCTCCCCATTTGCTTCCGCCACGCTCCCACCCCCCAACAGTGCTGCTGCTGCTGCCTATAGGAGCTTGCCATGCTACACCAGCCTCCAGGGGCATTCATGTGCTGGGGAAAAGCACCTTATTCCTGGAGAGGTTTCAGGGTCACAAGAGTCTCCTCTCTGCTTCTGAAACTTGGGCACTGCTCCTTGACGCAGCTGGTGAACGTTGCTGTGAGGAAGGCTGACCAGAACCATTAACAAATGAGAGAGTGGAAATATACACCCTAATTTCAACATACAGCTGTGCAAAATCTTTCCTCTGGGATTGATGTGGCCACTTTGGCCAAGGCTTGAAGGAGTTTACCAAGGGAAGCCTGAGACATTAGGCCCATGAAGATGGATGGGGAGAGCATAAATAAAGTTGCAAGGAAAAGTGCAGTTGGAATCTTCACTAAAAGGCCTGGGCCTATGGAAAAAGGTGGGCAACCTGGCATGCTGGGAATCCATACGTGTTGGGGTTTTCCTCTTGCACTAAAGGAAAAAATGCAAAGGGGTTCTAGAAAGAGTATTACAACAACAGTTGGCAAGATTTTGCAACAGTTGCCTTGATCAGCCTGGACTGGGTCTGAGGTGAGAGAGTGCTTCTGATTCGGCTGCCATCACTTCTCCCTATGGCACAAGTGATGCCTTCCTGCTGTGTGGGCTGGATGCAAGGTCTTAGGCCATATGTTCCTGATCCCTGATATAAAGCAAATGTCTACCCACAGCTGTGATGAAAGTATTGTCAACTGCTGTACCTAATGGATTGTGCAATTAAAGTAAAATAATGCCCAACCCACTGAGAGGTTGGGGAAAGTCCCACCACCTAGTACCAGGGTTGGACAGGGAGTGTGTGTGTGTGTGTACAACTGTACACATGGAGCTTGGAGGAACTTAACTCCTGCTTTGGATGGCTTGGGGTGTGGATGGGGAGGACCCTTCTGCAGCTCCTGCTTGAGATAAATGAGGCAAGAGGACAGGACTACTTTTACCTCCTAGGGACGTGCTGAGCAAGTACTGTGGAGTACACATGCTGACTAGTCCAGAGTATCTCTGAGTAGCACCAACTGCCCAGTGTCTCAGCACCACTTGGGACCAACTGCCAATACAAGGCAGCCTCCACCACCCATGTGATAAGACCCGGGTGATGCACCAACAGGTCAGTGAGGACTAAGCTGTGATTCCAGCTTCCAGGTCCTCAGGAGACCCTTGGTAAGAGCAGAATCTGAGGCAGTGGTTTGGTGTGTATCTTAGATGGTGGCAAAAGAGCTGCTGCTCATGTTGGGGGTCATGTTCCCTAGGAGGTGCTGCAGTAACCTGCTGAGGAACCCTGGCAGAGCCTGACAGCAGAACATCTGGACCAAGGCAGGACATGTGCACCACATCTGCCCTGTCTCACAAGAAGGCTGGGGGTTGCTATCCAGATATAAACTTCAGCACCTTCCTTCCTCCTACCCCATTCTTCTGGTATTTGCTGGCTGCAGGAGTGATGGATGTGAGACCTTGAAGTGAATTGGGAGCATCTCATGAGCACTCTTTTAAGTGCTCAACTTCCATCCCCATTGGGCAGTTTCTCCAAGCATTGTGTGCCTTCAATGCAGCTGGGTTCTGACTGAACCTGTCCCCTTCATTCAAAGGTTAACAGAGCTACTGCCTATCCAGTCAATTATTTAACCTCTCAGCAGGACTGGGCCACACTACTGTGGTCTTGACTCAAGTCACAGCAGTGTTTGGTGTTAGTGCCGCTGGGTTGTGGCTGCTCCACAAGTAAAATGCTCTGTACCAGAGTGACTGCCTTGAAAGGCTGATGGCTCAGCTCCTTTGCACTAGCTGTTTTCCCCAATAGGCTCAGCAACCTATAACTTGTTGCCATTTGCAGCTGGAAGGGACAGGGGCATCCCAGAGGCTGAAATCTCATCATGAGCAATGAACTGGAGAGGGGAAGGTGAGGAAACAGGAATGGGCAGCACAATAGACTCAGCACCTAGGCTGAGGCATAGGGGGGAGTGTTGTCTTCTCCTTCAGATGCCCTGTTCCTCTCCGAGATGGCTATGGGACTTTCTTGTCAGCAACCCAGATAGGTTCCTCCTAGGAGCTGTCTGGGGGAAGAAGAAAAGGTGGGAGAGTGTGGGTGTGGAGAGTCCTTTCCCAGCTTCCCCACCCATAAAGGACCTCTGGGAGAGAAGAACACATCAGCATCCTCCCCTGCTGGTGTCTCTGGCCAGCTTCACTTTCTGGACTTTCCTGGGTGATATAAAAGAAGGCCAAGCAGCAACCTCTTATGCTGCTCAAGAGATATTTCTCCAAATCATAGTGAGTACTGGCCTGGGATTAGGATTTGCTGTACTGCGCCTCCCTCATGGCTTGAGACAACTGCCCAATCTCTGTCAGAGTGGGGTTGGAGGACTGGCCAGGCAGGGGTGTGCTCAAAGTGGAGAGGCAGAAGGAGCAAGGGATGGGACACCAGGCAGGGGATGGGCCTTCCCTACCCTGACTGGTGTCACCTCCACCCCCAACCCTGACAGCCTTGCCTGGTGGCTGTAGGCAGCAGGATCTGCCCATGTGGCCTAGCATGAAAATGGGAGACACTGCAGCTGGTTGGAGAGGAACCAGGTGAGAAGGGTCACCAGTGCTGCCAGGGCCTTCTGTAAACTTGGAGGCATTCTGCACTTCTTCCAAGCCAACACTCCAGGGCCCAGCGGAGAAAGCACCAAGCCTCCCTGGCACACAGTGGATGCAGTGGGACATTTCTTACAGGGACATCAGGGAGGACTCCTCCAGGCTTACCTGAACATGCACAACTGCCAGCAGCTGAATGGTGACCTGTCATGAGGAGAGCACATGGATGAGGGTGGGAACCTGGCAGGAAAGGGCTGATAGGGCATAGAGGAGGGAGGAAATAAATAAACTGGAGGATGAAGGAATGCATGTGGGAAGATAGCAGACATGGGGGCAGGGCCCACCAGTGCTTGGAGGGAAACAGTTGCAGGGGCAGGGAGAAAGCAGTTGACTGGTGGAAGGGAGGCCTCTGCCACATCCCCCACTAACAGCTAGGCACCGGAGTGGTTTCTACCTCTGCAGGATAAGGAGGGACAGGCCTCCTCCAAGGAACAGGAGCATCCAGTGAGCATGTCTGGCAGGATGAGCCTAGGCCCAGCCCTCTTGTCCTGAGGAAAAGGGTCCCAGTGCTGAGGCACAACTGATCGGGGACAAAAAAGCAAGCAGCTGTGGAAGCAACATCAATACAAGTTCAAAGAGAGGGAAGCTGAGGAGATCATCCCCTGAAAGCACTTGCTGTTTCCCACAGGAGCCAATGGCTGCCACGCTGGCCCTCAACACACTATTTTTGTGGTGCTCCAAAAGTAGAAGAATGCTACGAGCGTGCACACAAGCCCCTTGGCATCACAAAGGCACGTTCTCCAATAGGGGGCTGCTCCTTAGTTCCCCCTGCCACCAGGGGAGCCTGCCAGTGAGGAGGAGAGGCTCAATGACAGGCTTTCTTTCCCTCTCTGTCAGCTGTTGCTGGAGTGGAAACAGGTGATGGGGCTGCCCACAAGCTGCCTACAAGCCAGGAGCTGATTAGGTCATCTTTGTTACCTGATCAACCCTTGCCAGGACCAGTGGGAATGGATAAAACACCCGCACTGTTACAGTTTGAAGTTCCTAGTGCTTCGGTGGGTTGCTGGTGCTCAGTCAGGCCCTGCTGCTGCTGCAACCTTGTCATCATTGCTGCCTGGCAGGGCCAAGGGCTGATCAGGTAGTTGTCTTGAAGGGGGAGAGGGAGCATGGAGCACTGTGGGACACAGGGGGTCAGGCTCAGAGAGACTGCCCAGACCTTACACTTGTCATGGGAAAGCTCCTCATGACAAAGAAATCGCTTTCTGAAAGAGGAAAGTTTTTGTCACTTTACCTGATGTTTGTGCAACATATTGCCCTTCGTTTTTAGAATGACAAACAGCACAAATGTATAAACATTTGCTTTTTGTCTCACTAAAAAAGTGCTTATAGGGTGACAAGTGTAACATGGGTCATGGGGAATGGAAGCAGACCCTGCAGCCATAGGGTGCCCTGCTGTCCAGCCCTGTCCCCCTGCACCTTGCTCTCCCCCCTTGGCTCAGAGGCAGGTGGCCTGCCTGGCGATGGATTTGGGTGGTACGCAGGGTGCGTGGGTGCCCCAGGCTCCAAAAGACAGAGTTTGATAATGATGAGCTCTGGTGAACTGGGTGAGGATAAGGAGGCCCTTGCTGCAGGACTTGCCCAAGGTGAGAGGCTGATTGGACCCTCCCCTGCCTCTGCTACAGGGTTCCGTGTGGTGCTGGCCCATTCTTATCTCATTGCCTGGATTGGCTTGGCTTTGTTCCTACCCATTTAGCCTTTGTTTATTTCTCTCTCCTAGCACTGCTCCCTTCCCCTGTGCCCCCATCTCTCTCTCCCTCCTACACCCCTTGTCTTTTGTATTCTAATTTGGCAGTGTAAAAGTGATGTTCTAGATGGTCCGGAAATGTTGCCAGAGGCAAGGATTTCTGAGGGTGGGATCTTTTACTGGACCAATAAAAAAATGTCACCCTAAGAAATCCTTGCCTCTTTTATTCCAATTTGTTCCATACTCTGCTTTCTGGACCTCCTTTCACAGCATCTGATGAAGTGAGTTTCAACCCACAAAAGCTTGTGCTTGCTTGCTCCATCCATCCATCATCTTACTGAGTTGGTCTGTAAGGTGCATATGCACCCCGCCTTCTGCCTGACGCGGGGTGGGGCGGGGCGTGCGGAGGGAGCCGGCGGCTCCGCCCTGCTCCGCCGCAGCCCGGC